CAGGATTTTAACTTTAATTAATTTGCTGAATTATTTGCGGTACTGATATATAGGGCAGCAGATTTTAATTTAGTTTACGTCAGATTCTGGCCACTTTCGCGGTGGTAAGCGGAGCATGAATGGCAGATGCGGTTCACGTTACTAAAAATAATAACCAGAAATGTTTATATTAAATTCTCATGTGATTTGTTGTGGGTCTGGGAGGAACTCAACATAATAGTCAACGATCTTGTTCTTAAGTTCATCATGTGATTTAATGTGTCGTATGATGGGTTTTGGTCTTTTAAAGGAACTGGAAGCTATCCAAGGTGCACCTGGAACATGTGGATAGGGCCAATGTGATTATGAAAACTTGTTATGATTTCCATATTTTTTTTGTTTCCCGTCTGATTTGAGGTGTCGCATAGACTTTGGTCAAAGTCTGTCCAAGGTCACTTTCCCTGGGGCACCCGGAATATGTCCGGATGTGTCCAATGTGCTCCTAGCCATTTGATATAACCGCCATTGCACTTGTTTTTTAATGCTAATGTGATTTTTATGGATGATGGATTTTTGGTTCAAGTCAGAAAGTGGGGTACCCAGAACATGTCCGGATCCGTGTTGTCAACAATGTCAATTGACGAAAGATATTGGTCTAGCACTGATTTTTACTTCCGACACTGATATTCTTGGTAAGCATAATGTCAGGCGGTACGGATTTGATATTACCATCCATATGAATATCACTAGCGAAAAGTTAAAAATGTTACTTTATCTCAATAAATCTACTTGTTTGTATAACCGTTGCATAGTTTTAACATTACTGATGAACTTTCTAAAGATCATTACTCGATAAGTTGGCGTATTTAAGAAACATTTGCCGTAGAACTTTGAATATCAGTGGTCCCTTTACGATGTCAATGTCCTTTGCGCACTGACATTGAGGCGAATGATATTGATATTCTAACTGTGTGAGCTGATACTGAAATCAGCTGGCTAGTGAAATTCAGTATTTTGCAGCGCTGGTCCGCATGTGTCCAATGTGGTTCAGAACATTTAAGTTAACCAACAAAGCACTTCTATTTGAGCTCCAATTTGATTTGAGGCATCGCATGATCGGTTTTGGTCCAAGTCATTAAGTCTGATCACTTCCCTTGGGGTACCCGGAACATGTCCGGATGTGTCGGCCGAGAACATCATTTGAATAGCTTCATGTCATTGATAATGGTTTGTTGTGATGTAAGGGGGTCGGTGGCCTAGTGGTGACCGTTTTTACTTACTGAGCAAAAGATCGTGGGTTTTATCCCAGGCCCCTTTACATTGCTGAGCTGATAGGTTCGCATCAATAGATCGTAAATATAATTTGTGTGAATTTCTAAAATCAATACATTATATCTCGATTAACATTTGTAGAGCTGTTACAACAGCTACAGATTTCGCAATTTTAGCAGATTTGAACTTTCAGTCGTGAAAATCGTGAAGGAACTGATGTGCTATCACAAAAATTTCGGAATTCGTTTTCATTGCGCGGTAATTTTTAGGAAAAATTATCGCGATTTTTTTGTTATCGTGTATTATGATGTAAGCGTGATGCCAACATTCCAGTTTAAACTGGAATCTTCCGGTTTTTTTTTAATTCATCTAGCAACATATTTTGAAGTATGATTACCAGTACAGAATAATTAAGATGCTTACACTTTAAACTTTAATATTGCAATTTAAATCTGGAAATGCAATATTGCAATTGAATTCTTCAAAATGCGTGGTGATGCTACGATCAAGCTCGCTTCACGGCAACAGGACATGCGTGCTGTGTCACAGCATCGACACGCATTTTGCAGGTTTGGTATTATGTATTATGACAGACTTTATGTCAAATTTCAAATCAGTAATGGAACCATATAAATTATTGTCGTCAATATTAATGATGTATCTCTGTTATTTATTTACCAATATTATTTTAAATTATCGGAGCTTCGTATGCCTTCGTCTTGTGGATTTATTTAATGAAATTGAAGCAACATTTTAGCTGATTCTTATGCAGGGTGTGTACTCATTTTGCTGTTGTTTTACAGGTTTTTCCAGAACTTTTCGTATAATTATTTCCATGTTTGCTGTTTTGCGTTAAAAAATATGTTATTTTTTAGTAAATCAATAATTTTTTTTCATATTAAAACAATATAATTCGTAGTTCTGAAGCAATGCGTAACAACCAGATGCATTATAGATTTGAAAGTTGGAAATACGCCATGTAAGAAGAAACGTTATTTTCTTCTACTTTTTCGTGTTTATTGAGTAGTTTGTGAACCGTTCTCTCTATATTTGGCAAAATATGGTTTGGTTACATTTTGGAGTTACGCCCTTTTCAAATATTAGTCTAGATATTATGTCTTTCATTGTGGTAAAGTATCAAACACCATTAAAATTACAAAAACTATATTATTTTCTTTCACTCGCCATCTATTTGCGCACGGGGCAAACGGTGATTTTGCCGTTGTTCCTACCAAGATAGTCTGTAAGCTAAAATTTTATAATTTATATTGGTGTCATTGGAAGAAAAATGTTTGAATTATTTTGCTGTAGTTTTCAGAGTGGAGAAAGCCTGAGCGAGGCATATCTTGTTACGAAGCTACTTGAAGATAGAGAAGTAGATTCATGCCAATAAAAGAATGCCTGATCTAAAACTCCCGATCATGCTTGGCATGCAAATGTTCGACACCGAACACAATCAACAAAATTATAAAATCATGAAATGATCGGTTCAGAGATAAATAAAATATAATGTCTGCATTTGTGCTAACCAGGTACACAACATAAGCCAGGACATCGTAGTATACCTTGGTTAGCCTGTAAAACATAAAGATCTGAATCCATACCTTTCACGCCAAGGTCGAAGTACTTAATTATCTTAGAGGTAAATCGTCCAGCTCAAACCTAGGGGAAATCATCATTATCCTGAGTTCAAATATAACCGGGATAAGTCACGAATGATCCAAGAGTGTTAAAGTGACTATATTATAAAAAAGATATGAACTCCAGGCATTTCAGAAAACCTAATAATCCAAACCAATTATTTTATATTGCCCATTCTATCATTAAGTCGAATCATCGTATACCTTGTTGAGTCTACAGAACTTCAAGAACAGATATCCTGGATGATTTGGATAATCCAACAATGTTTTTTTTAACAAAATTGATAATTTTAAATGATGTTATGAACTCAAAATGTTAAAAATTGCTCAAAATGCTTAGCCTGTAAAATATCTTTAAGACAATTTGGAGAATGATAAATATATTGGTAACACATCTTTTTATCCCACAAAATGTTGTTCAAGATACAAACTCCAGGAAAATTTTAGAAACTTTTAATACTGCGTTTCCCTGACCAGGTCTCTTGTATTGATATATGCTTTTTTCGACATAACAAAACCACATTAAGGCTCATTTTTTGCAGGAGACTCTTTGATTTTATACGAATTCCATGAGATGTTGGAGATCTAGATCATCAACATATTAATGCAAATCTCATCTCATATATGTTTTACAAAATAGACGTATTGTAGAGCAACTCTGGAGCAATTCCGCTGAAAAAAACATATTATTATCTATAAACGGTTATTTTTCCTCGCCTTTTTAGTTTAAGGCAGCGGTGATTTTTGGGTGTTTTTTTTTAATAACCGGGAAAATTGTAAAATTGGATTCAATGAAATGCTCCTCATAATGGCCATGGAACTCTAAAAATTATCACCGGAATATCCCTGGAATACTCTTCAATACTTCTTCTTGATAGCTGTTGTCTCGTATTTACATGTTCTCGATTTTGTAATCGCAATACGAGCTGAAAAGCTACAATGACCTAGTGAGCACCATGACTCGAGTCGTCTTTCAGTAGTGTGTATTACATGGAGAGCCCAACCGAGATAATAACCTATTAAGAATGCAGTTAGTAAACTCTCGAAAAAATACTAATAATGTCATGCACCAACTAAAAGTACCTAGAATCAGTGTTCGGAAAATCATTCTCAAATCTCATTCATTAAGAGAGAATAAACTCGTGTGCGAATCTGGCCAACTAAGGGGCCATGCATTAATTCTAAATTGGGGAAAAATGTAGCCCCCCTTCCCCCATTGGTCACGTTTTTCCTATAACTAATGAATTGTTTGTCACAAAATCTTACACTCCCCTCCTTAGTGCGTGTCATATTACATTTACATCACACCACATCTCACGCTTAAGATTCTCAGGTATTTTTATGCACTCACACTCATAACGCCAAAAAATAATTCCAGTTTGAAACTCATAAAAACCGCTCAAACGTTAATTACGCCAGAATATAAAGCAATGAATTTTTTAACCTGAAATCTCATCGGTGAAGTTTGCGCAGTTGAATTTTGCAAGGGAAAATTCATACGCGAATAAAAACTCCCTTATAAGATTTGAGTTTTTGAGTTTTTCAGAACACTGCCTATAGACTGCTTGATGTATAAAACCGTAGTCTTTCAAGCCGTCACGACATTCTTACGCACATCACATTTATCAATGATGGACGCGAACTGAATTTCAATCGTATGTTTGTCTATGACATGACACCCAAACGGGAAAATTGTTATTTTGGGCCGACTTAAATTCTATTTAGATAGCCACGTGATTTCCAGTCGCTTGCAACGATGGCAATAATATCTATAACAGGGCATAGAACACGTGCTTTTTTGGGACGCAAAGCACACGCGACATGCAATGGTGTAAATACGACCCTCCATCTCTGACGACTGACTGGGAGCAATGGAGATATGGAATATATAGAAACACGCCACAATCCAAACATTGGCAACGATAGACGGTTGCAGCCAGGTCGTCTCTAGTTAGTAGCTCAGCTAGCAAATCAAGGTTGTTGACCGTCTCAAACAGCAAGTCAAAGCATAACATTAGGATTGTTGTGGTTTTTCATACCTTATTTTCTATTCTTTTCGATGTTCTACACTACCATTCTAATAAATTACATTTTTCTTTCTCTTTGCAGATTCACAATGTTACTAATATCTGGGAATAGGTTGCCTTCGAGATAAAAGAGAGAAAGATCTACAACAGTGACGGAGGAAAGATAGTGTAGTGCTTAATGCTTAAGTGTTTAAAAGTGTAGCAAAGCAAAGTTTAAAAAAAAGAATATGGCAACCCCAAACTACAAAGAGCTTAAGCTGCAGTCTCCGGCTGGAGCGGAACCGTTTCTATACAATTGGCCTTTCTCGATCGGCGGAGGGCACGATAATGGCATCGAGCTGATCGAGAATGTTCGCTGGGTGTGCGAGGACATGCCGGAAATCAAATCCGCCATAGAGGAAATCAACCTGAACGATATCGACACCGGAGACTACGACGCTATGAAGAATTTGTGCGATCGTTTCAACAAAGCAATCGATAGCGTGTCCGCACTGGTAAGTGTTAAATGTTATATACCATACCATTTTCTTACCATGATTCTTACGTTATTTATAAGAAATGTAAACAAAAGGGACGGACGACCCCAATAAAATTGTAATGGTTATTTTAATTAACGACGTGTTCTGGGTATCATCCAAACCATTTGTAGAATAGTTCTATCATTTGGGTAATTGGGTAATCATTCGTTTATGGTATTTTTTTTTTGTATTAAGGGACCCCGGTGTAGTGGTTAACATCCATACCTCTCACGTCAAAGTTAAGTGTTCAAATCTCACGAATGACCCAAGACTGTTAAATTTACTGTAATAAATTAAAAAAAAACAAAGTACATTCGCGAGGAACTACTTTTGATTCGGGGGGCTACTTTGGACACATCAAATTTGTTGAACAAAATGAAGTAGATTAAAGATTCGAAATTTATCCACAACTTTCTACTGAAATCGCAGTATACTAGATCATATAATATCATTAAGCGATTCTCAGAATTATGTGAACAAGTTTAGCGACGAGTTTTATCAAAAGTGTAACTTCTCAAAAAATTTACCCAAAATCATTGTTGAAACTTCAGTTGTCCCACAGCTGTCTACAGCAGCAGTCGATTTTTTATTTCGTTGTGAACCACGCGATAGCCTGTTTTCGAGACTTGCTATTATATAGTTGCTCTTTGTTCGTTGCTAGCAGTTCGGTGCCTTTTATTGCTACGGTGCAAGATGTGTGAAGTAAAAAATACCATCAAGTTTAGCTTCAGTCATTGTGATGCTAAACCAAACGTAAATTTCGCCAAAGCACTCGACGCGGATCCGGCTGAAATGGAAGCTGTTTATCGCATTGGTGAGGAAAGGGGAGTCTTCATGAAGTTCAAATCAGAGGAAGCGATGCTCCATGCTCTGACATTCAATTCGGAGGATTTAATCTTCCACTATGCGAATGGAACGACGGCAAAGGTACGCATGTCGCATGCTGGTGAATTCATTCAATATGTGCGTGTGTATGACTTGCCACCAGAGGTACCCGACAACGAGCTGGATAAAGTGCTGGGGAAATATGGGAAAATTAAACGCATCATCCGGGAGAAATTTCCAACTGATCTGTGTTTTGAGGTATATACAGGGATACGCGGTGTATATATGGATGTGAAGAAGGAAATCCCCACGTCATTACATTTCTTCAATCGCAAAGGAAATATTTTTTATGATGGCAACAAAGATAAATGTTTTCTGTGCAAGGCGGACGGACACCGGAAGCTTTCCTGTCCCAAGCGGAAGGCTCGGAAGGAACCGGAGAAGCAACTGAAGGAAAAAGGAAAGCAAAGTGAAAGAAAACAAAACAGCAGCAGTTCGTATGCTGGTGTAATGGTGGAAGGTGCGTCGTTTGTCATTAGCGATCAGGAAACGGACACGGGGTTCGAGATGTTGAATGAAGAAAACGAAATGGACGTGACGACCCCGACGACCGACGAGAGTAGCGGAGAGCATGCAACGGGAAACGATGTTCAGAAGCAGCAGCAGCGATCACGATTCGGGTTCAATGAAAATGAGGAACAAATTCGGGAAAGAAAGAAGTTGCGTGCACGGGAGAAGACCGCTTTGTCGCCGCTTCGATCGCCACCAAGAAAAATCATATGATAAAATATGTTTGTATATATATTTTTTTTTTTTGTATTTTGAGTACCAAAATTGGTATTCTATGTTACTCGGCTCCGCTAAGTTATTTTTATAACATTCGAGCCTGCCAAATAAACGAACAGAAAAAAAAATTGTTGAAACTTGTAAAAACATTCACAACCTCCTCTCGGGAGTCGACAAGCATTCTTCATACCGGATAGTGAGGATATTCCATGTGAAAATGGTTTATAGCAATGTGATTCAGGTAAATGAAAGAGAGTTGATATACTAAATCTCCATCATACCAAAAATTCATGAGTTTTTTTTTAAGTTCTCTCAAACCAGTAACTCGACTGATCTGACTGTGAGTTTTATACATTTTTTTTTATGGAGTTTATGATGTTGATTGATTTTGTCCATTTAATTAGCAAAACATAAGAATATTTATCACGTGTCCAACGTAGTTCCTCTGTTTACATTTCTGACTGCGGTTTGACGGCTATATGGCGAACATTTTCAAAATCATTCTTGGTCGTTCATATGCTTCACATTACACACCATAAAGGTATCCCTATTGGATGTACCACATCCTATTGTTATCTACTTTTTTATTTTATAAGGACAGGTTAAAGTTTACTAACACCAAAAAAGTGTCAAAAGACGGTATTGAAGAATTGATATTTTCCCTTGTGAAGCTTTTGGGAAAAAAAATATTCATAATTTGGCCGACTATTTTTCTATAATTTTGACTCAAACTACATTCCGGTTAGGGGCTGACCATAAACTACGTAGACAGTTTATGGGGGGGGGAATTACACGGCCCATACACTGAGGCAAATAGACTTAAGAATTTCATAAGGCTCGACTTATGACTGTACCTAACTTCAAGATCGAACAAAACTAGCAAAGCCGTTAAGGGGCGATCCATTATGTACTTAAGGGGGTATTCCCGATCTTTTTCTTCAAAAAATCAAATTTTTTTTTTCACGTTTTTTTGTACTTTAGACTATATACTTTCATCCCCCCCAAGCCGTTTTCCGATCAGCGTATTCGGTGTCCAGGCATAGCTGACTAATGGTAAGAACCCCCAAAATGGTTTTAACTAAAGTCAAAACTTTAAACGCGTTTTTCTCGAAACCACATTTTTTTATCGGGCGAAGATTTTTCTCAGAAACTATAAGAGATATTGACTTGAATCTTTGCGCATTTTGTTCCGTTTTAAATTCTTTGGAGCTTCTCCCACTTTCAGCCAAAAATATTAACATTTAACATTGTTTGAAGCACCTTAAAGCTGCAAAAAAGCGGGCTAAAAATCGCCTGTTTTTTCATATGGCCGCCATTTTGTTAATTTGTAAGATTTTTTGCTGCCAACGGGAGAAGCTCCAGAGAATCTTATGCAGATTATTAATTTCATCACGAAATCTGTTTCAGATGAAGCCGATCCAGAGAAAAGTCTTCGCCCGTCCAGGCGTTTGCGGCGAACAGGGGTCTGTTTGCCGCCATTTTGTGTCGAAAAAAAATTATTTGTTAACTTTAATGTTCAATAAACAAGAATCCCAAAGAGTTAGGCGCATTACTATTCATTTTCCTTGAAAAAATTAATTGAAAAACAGGCCGAAAAAAGGCAAAAGATTGGGAATACCCCCTTAAGGATTGGGGGTTTACAAACAATATATTAGTTTTAGGAAAAACGTTCTGAATGGAAGTTCTCTAACTAGAATTTAATTATACAATCTGGAAATTGTTAATCCATTTCTGATTTTATGTGAAATTTTATGTTTTTTTTTTCGTTTGTTCAGTGTAGCACAAACACCACCACAAGCGCGATTCATTGACAGGACCACATCATATGTTTGTAAACAAACGTGCACCAGATATGTACACCCTGAATAATTTTGGTGTACATCGGTGCAGTTCTGGTGTAGCTACACTGCAAAATCGAAAACGAAATAAGATACGTCCTTTTGAAAAGTTACTTACCTTACCTTATCTACCTTACCATTTAGGTTAAGGTCTGGATGCCCTTTGTTGTAACAAAATTAGTCTCCATTCAACTCACCAGCCACGCTGTCTGCGAAGACTATGCAGGTCGCCTTCCACCTGGTCGATCCAACTTGCCCATTATGTCGTCTGACATTCTTACGCCGTGCCAAGCGCCGATGGTGCTTCTCCCAACAGTTTATGCCTTCTGAAAAGTTACGTTTGAATTGAGCAAAGTTTCATGGACATTGGAAAAGGTCGCGGCTGATCGTTCGTTTAATCATAATTACATAATCATAGTTCCAACAGATTCACGTCTTCCTGTGCTGCAATTAAAAAGAGAATTTAAAAAAATTAAAGAAATTGGGAGAAGATTTTAGAATGAATTTTAGGGATAACATCAAGAGACATCAGAGAAAAAAATCCAAATAAGTGTTGGGAAGAAGCACTCTAAGAGAGTTTTGACTAGTACTCAAAGTCAATGATGAGTGATCAGAGTAGCATTGTTAAAAAGTTCTGTGGAAAATTCCATGATCATTGTTAAGAGGATTCCAGGTCTTTTTATAATGAATTTTCAGGTACAGTTCAAGATGGCCACCCACCGGGAATTCCGAAAAAAAAACCCACGAATTTGTTATCACCAGGAAAACTCCGGGATTCAATGGCACCACCGGGAAAATTTTACTCAATGAATCAATATCTTCACTTTCACAGCTATGCAACACTTTCGTCTACCGTGAAGGTGGGTTATTCCGCGCACTTAACTCGAGAGTAAAGCCTTTCCCTCTTCAGAAACTTGGGAAGAAGAGAAATGCTTCGGTCAAATGTATCATTGATAGATTTTTCATTAAAAAATATAAGATTTGTTACAATCAGCACCAAAATTTCAAAATTTGCCTCGCAAAATAATTGTGAACGGTGCATATAATTTTGCGCACTGATTCGAGTGATGTTTGTAATGCCGCCCACTTTTATTCAACTAAAAATTTAAACTCTAACTCTGCTGGTTTATAATTTGCTGGATAGTCTTGCAACACTTCCAGGATACTATTTTTATTAAAAGGATATGGAAATTACAGTCAGGAACTCTTATTCCCGGTTAATAGGGAGCGTGAATAAGGAACCGCGTATAACCCACAGCTTATGGAATTTTCACTAATAGGGAATGTAGTGGATTATCTCATTTGTTTCAATGTACAAAGTTGTTGAACTGTGTTATGCCATTGGATATAGGTTTAATTGGGAACTACATCGCTAGAGCCCTCCCCTTGGCTAGTTTTTGCATATTGCTGTTGGTGGGCGGGCGGTCTTAAATTCATGCTTTATAGTGGAGTCGCGCACGGCTTCCGGAACTCGCGCGGTTTTCGTAACTTACATAATTTAGTTCGAAACGGATTTACTTATTCAATCGGTTTACTACGCGGTTTTAACTACGCGCACACGTCACAGCATTTTTTCCATAACTATCTTGAAACAATACACACGGAATCCAGTATTCAAGCTCCTAACATAGGCTAGTCCTTCTGCTGTATTGTCAAAGATAGAAGCTAAATTTATTCAAATGGGTCAAGTCTTGAAAACTAAGCTGTCACGCAGCTCCAGCATGATACCCAATAAAAAAAAATCACTGAACATAGTATCATTAGTGATGATGTTCTTACATACATAATTTTTTTTTGGCGATAAGGGCACTACCGAGCAGCTCGGCATTTTTTTGTTGGATCTCAGTGAAAAATTTGCCGAGATTCAGCAAAATTTATGTTTGTTAGCTGAATCTCGGCAAGTTTTTCACTGAGATCCAGCAAAATAAAATGCCGAGCTGCTCGGTGGTGCCCATCTCGGCAAAAAAAAACTTTCTTTCCCCTAATTGTTTTTCTCGGATTTACATAGAAACTTTCAATGAATTATTAACATCTACACAAGTTTACTAAATGCATCTATCTCTAATAATTTGTTTCTCTTTACATTTTAGGAAAAAGGCACCTCCCTTTCGAACCAGAGATTCACGTATCCCTCCCGTGGGCTTCTACGGCACATCATTCAGCAGGTCTACAATCAGGCAGTTGTTGAACCGGAAAAACTAAACCAATATGAACCGTTCTCACCGGAAGTGTACGGTGAAACGTCGTTCGACTTGATTTGTCAGATGATTGACGAAATCAAAATCACCGGAGACGATGTATTCGTTGATCTGGGCTCCGGAGTTGGGCAGGTTGTGCTTCAGATGGCAGCGTCGACGCCAGTGAAAATCTGCTATGGAGTAGAGAAAGCTGATGTTCCTTCGCGGTATGCTGAAGGGATGACTGCCACCTTCAAACTGTGGATGCGGTGGTTTGGCAAAAAGTATGGGGACTATGAACTCATCAAGGGAGATTTTCTAGCGGACGAACATCGGGAAAAGATTATGTCTGCGACGATCGTTTTCGTGAACAATTTCGCTTTCGGACCGAATGTTGACCATCAGCTGAAAGAACGATTCGCTGATTTGAGAGATGGTGCCAGGATAGTATCGTCCAAAAGCTTCTGTCCGTTGAATTTCCGAATAACAGACCGTAATCTCAGCGACATAGGAACCATTATGCATGTGAGCGAAATGACTCCTCTGAAGGGGTCTGTTTCGTGGACTGGCAAGCCTGTTTCCTACTATTTGCACATTATTGATCGTACCAAATTGGAAAGGTATTTCCAACGCCTCAAGACAAAGGGAAACGAGAATGATAATCAAGCTGGCGGAAGTACAAATACTAGAGCAACTCGGGCTAAGAAAGATAAATGCGAGAAAGCGGTGACAAATGACGACACTAGCTCTGATAGTGACGTGGAAGCTGCTGGTCCAGCGAGCAGAAAACCGTGGTCGGATTGGTGCAGTGGGAAAGAGAAAAGTAGTCAATCGGAGGAGGAAAACAATAATTCACCTGTATTGCGGAATGGACGAATTCCGACAGCATCGAAAAAGCGTAAAAAGATCACCAGAACGAAGACAGCGGCCAAGAAAGATCCTGCTGTACAGGCAGCTCAACAAGCGGCAAAAGAAGCACAGGCTGCTGTAACAAAGCGAAGAGGACGGGTAAAGAAAGGTCGCCAAAGACGGGCCCTTAAAATCAACGGTCTCGATCTCTTGCACAGTGAAACCTTATTGAGTACATCTGACCAAGCTATCGGTAAGCGTCTGCCTCCAGCTGCAGGTTGTGTAGATCAACTGCTTACCTCTTTGGCAGGAGATATGCAACACAACGAGCTGAATATTCCGGAAGCTCCTTCCGAGACGCCTTACGGTTTGCAAATATTGCTAGATTTGTACAAAACTCAGTTTATAAAAGCTATTGAAGCAATGCGGAAATCATCGTACAAAGACAATGTTCAACACCAAATCGACCGGGAAAAAGAACGCAATCAACGTCTGTTGAACCGTGCCGGTCAGCTGGAGAAACAGATCAAAGTTCTGATAGATGACAGTGTTGCCCTTCTGAAGGCTCGGATGAATGAACTAGGAATCAGCACAACCAGCCAAAATGATCTGCTTTGCAAAGCGAAGGAAATCGTCGGTCGACACAAAGAACTACAAGTGATGGCAGCCAAACTGCAGAACCAAGTTACCTCAATCGAACAAGAGCAGAAACGATTGGTGATGCAGCACGTCCAGAGGATAGCCGATAAATATATCAAAACGGAAGAGGTAGAGATAACACCTAAAACATCGCACGAATTGGTACTCAAAGAAATTGCCAACACACTTTCTCAAAGGAAAAAGCTCTACGCTCAGGTGTCTAGTATGGAGAACGAGCTGAACGTAATAGAAAAGATAGCCGACGAGCGGAGGGCAGCCGCAGCAGTACAAGCAACCATCGTTACACACCAACGAGGAGATCAGTCGCTACAGCAATCATCACATCACCAACAGCATCGTGAGCAAGTTCTTTCTCGAGAACAACCTCACCAGCGTGGGGAAGAGCTGCGACGCGATGTTCATCATTCAACGCAGTCGCAATCTCAATCGACGTCCGTCACTGTTCATGTTACTCAACCGCCTTCATCAAAGCACAGCTCTGGATCTTCTAGATCTCAGAGAAAGTCCCGCGAAAATCGAACCAGATCTCAAGAATGGCCAGAAATCCCCGACATTGGAAAGATAGAGGAAAACAACCCAGAAATACTGGCACAAAAGATACTGGAAACCGGAAGGCAGATTGAAGCCGGAAAGTTACTAGCAAACAGCGCCAGTAAGCATCAGAAAGACCGGGATAGTAAAAATCACCACCTTCAACAACAACAGTATCAACAACAATCACAATTGGCGCTTCAGCATCCCCATCATCCCCATCCAGGTGATGCTGCGTTGATGCCCGCTCCTTCGACCCTAAGTAAATCGCACCATCGTGGCAACAATAGCGCAAATACTACTGCCAACGTAAACATACTTAAAACTTATGTACCTGGTCCAACCGCTGCTGGAGAAATGGTAGGAGCACCGGCAGGAGGTAATACAACAAGTGTCAAAGTCGAATCGCGCGCAAAACTGCAAGATTCGCACAAGGTGGTGAATTTCGAAGATCGATTGAAAAGTATCATCACCTCAGTTCTTCAAGCACCTCCGAAGACGCTCAGCACTGGAGGACCGCTACAACAGCAGCAACCTCCACCGCACCAAGTCTCAACGCAACATCACTTGCGAGACTTGCCACAACCGATACTTCTCAGTCACGGAGAACATGTATCACCAAGCAAATCATCGCCGTACGGAAAAACGGTATACCTTGCAGCTGGTGCTCAACCACCACCGAATACGATGCACAGTTCTTTACACGATACGACGTCCCGAAGTAGTAGTGGCAATCAACACCATCTACCTCATCCGTCTAGCGGTGGCCCATCATCTTCCCAGCCGCCAAGTCAGTATCCTGCTATGATGAACACTGTGACATCTACGCACCATCTAAATGCCACCACTACCATAACATCGGCCCCAATTTCGCCGTATAAAGGACACGGCACTAGCCAAAGTACGAAAATATCACCGAGTTCCAAGTACTATCAGAAATCAATGCCAATCAACCACCATTCACCAGGGGCCAACAGTACGCATCAGCAGATACTACAACAGCAAGAACGGGAAAGAGAACGAGAACGCGAACTCCGACAATCTCAAATGGTCATGCATTACGGATCTCACAGTGGCCAATCCCATTCCACAGTTGTGGATCCACAAAACCCTCATGTTCAACTACTGCCACTGCGTGGCGCATTGGACGGTAAAATGGAATTCAAAACGCCCGAGCAATTCCGCTATGATCATCGCAATCCGATCGAACCTCCCATGGCTCAGAGCCATACACGAAGCTCGTCAGCTACTTCACTGGATGGCGAATATCATCCTGCTGGGGTAAACGTGCGCTACGTTGGTGTACCCACAAACCCTCAAACGCTGCAACAACAACAGCAGCAACCTCAACAAGCACCTTTGCAACAACAACAGCTGCCCGGAGGTAACAACTCTCGGCCGGGATCGTCATCCTCGCAACCGGATTACACCCAGGTATCGCCGGCAAAAATGGCACTGCGACGACACCTTTCTCAAGAGAAACTGACACATCCGATACCGCCGTCGACCAGCACCGTAAAGACCATCGGTGATTTGGTGAATGGAGAAATCGAACGAACGTTGGAAATTTCCAACCAATCGATCATCAACGCAGCGGTCAACATGAGCACATCGGCGGCAGTGGCAGCGGCTGCAGCAGCATTGCCTGCAGGGCATACCGTTATCAATACCAACGTTCAGCGACCGGAGCGCGTCAGCATTCGAGTTCTGGAAGAAGCCGCTCTCAATGGCAGGTGAGTTTTGAGCTAGAATAAGAATTTGATCTTCCGTCAGACAGGTATTTTGAGCTATCAGTCCAAAATAAAGGTTACGATTTTGCCCTGAAATCAGATTTTTTTTTCTTCAAAATACTAAACCAAATTTTTGCCGGCACCGATGGTGTAGTGGTAAGCGTGGCTGCTTTCTCACCCCAATGGATATGGGTTCAATTCCAGTCGAGGTCGGTGGGATTTTTCTGAGGCATAAAAATCTCTGGTCACGTCTTCCTTCGGAAGGGAAGTAAAGCCGTTGCGGTGGTCCCAGCTCATGTGTGTTGAATGGGTGCGATATCCTACGCAGGGGTGGAAGCTGCCTTCCTACACATTCGATTGCCGTCAATTGATGGCAATAGATGTCCGTCGGTGATTGGCACTAGATTGCGGAACAGAGACCAACGTTAAATAAAGGAAAGAAGAGATGAACCAGCCTCTGGCTAAAAGTCTCGCTAATAAAGATAACCTAACCTAACCTAAATAAAGGAAAAAAGATCTACCAAATTTTCAAATAACCAGAACTAGAAAAAAAAATGTAAAACATTCGGAGCTTGAGAAAAATATCAAGAACTATCGAAATTAAGCAAAATTCTTAAGCTTATGGGACTAAGAAAAATATTCTAGATTCTGGAGCGTGAGACCTAACCATACTTTCAAGATTCAAGAATTTGGAAAACATTTTAGGGATAATCCACATATTACGCAAGATTTATAGCGAAACTTTCTTACTTTTTCTTACAAGGGAGTAAAAGAATATCAGAAATAGATACCTAACGCATTTATGAAGAATACAGAACATATTAATGTTCGATGTAAGCTAACTTACTAAGGGGCTGGTGTAGCAAATTACAAAGAAAAATCTTACTTAATAAAATGCATGTCCCTTATGGCTTACAAAAATTGTCTTGATCCCGGACATACATGTTCATGCATCCTGAACTTACGGGTCACATTTGCTTGCATCCAGTGCTTTAAAAAAGGTTTTGGCAGTTAGAATACAAATATATTAGCCTAATATTTCCGTACATTATCAAATTTTTAAGATTCGAGGATTTCGTGAATTTGTAAAAAAAATACAGGTCTTGAAAAATAACATGATTACGAGAATTTGCAATTTCTGCTTTTAGCTGGATTTTGAAGTATCCGAAAAAAAATACGGGACTTGGAAGAGTAATCAAACTTCCGAAACATGAGATAAAAATTAGGCTTCTAAGACTTGGACAAATTTTCATGATTCCAGAAATTGATTTCCTGTTCATGCGAGATAGCTTTGTGCAGGAGTTCTTGGCTAACTACTCTGAAACAACAAGACCAAATGTTCGATATCCTTTGAAAATGTTTGTAAGTCTTGAGCTTGCATACATTTTCAAACATACCAACCTTTTTTTAGACAATTTTCAAAATTCCAAGATTTGCAAAAAGGCTCAAGACTTCGGAAATCAGTCAAATTTTCAAGAATCAGAGGCTTCGAGATTCATAGAATTAACCAAATTTCAACCTTACGGAACATAGTCGGGATAGTCAAGATTCTTGGAAATATAAGCTTATCATTCTGTAATGAATCAAATCTTTTTTCACAGTGCCCAACCATCATCATCCTACAGTCCCATTTCTCGGCCAAACAGCAGAGAAATGGACAAATCGCCCGTACATATACATGGTCAAAGCAATTTGGCCACACTAGCCCAGGTGGCTACCTATAATCACAAGAAGCCATCATCGTCCTCATCGTCTGCCTCGTCGACGGTCATATCACCTCGTGGTGGACCTGTTCAGCAAGTCGACAGCCGAGTACATCCTGTGTCTTCGCAGCAATACCCACAACAAGGTGCAACGCCGCACTCATCCGTCGTGTATCCACCAACAAGGGGAGATAAGCCGTCCTACCAGCCTTCGGAACGTCCTGCATCTGAATCAACTTATATGGCTCTTCCGCGAGCTGACATAAAGCCGCACCTAGATTCGTACTTTATCGATGAACATAAACGACATCAACAGCAGCAACAACAACATCAACTGCATAGGCAGGAATCCCAGTCGGTTGGTCCTCATCATCATCCACCTACTTCCCATCATCAAACTGGTAGCGGTATGCGTGCCATGGGTGATTTGTATCACCGCAGTCATGCGGTTGGAGCGATTGAACAGTCACACCCTCGCCGAGAACCGGTAGCTTCCCACGTAGTGGATGATCGAATGAACGGTAGTCCACCTTTGGAAGGTTTGCATGAATTTCAAAACACTTATGAATAAAAGTTTAGGTCTAAACTTTGTATTATCCATAGGCTTGGCTGCATCGTTACGAGCTCGAGTGATTGCACAGTTGAACAGCAAAGAAGAAGATGTCGAACGGCACCGACGGACAGACCATACCGGATCTGGCAGCAGCAACAATACCATACAATTAGTACAAACACCCCACGTCAAAACCGAGAGTAAGTTAAATCTTTCAGTGATTAAGTAATGAAGTCTCATTAATCTGCCCTTCGAATTGTAGAATATTCAACCGGAATGAAGCGTACATCGCCGATCATAGAGAATCCTCCTAGGCCTCCGAAGATGTTGTACACCGATTGCTCGGACGCCATGATCAATTCCGACCTACTGCATGTAGGTCGAAGCAATTCAGGTCCATCACGAGGAATGGGACCGCTTATGAGTCCCGAAATCAACTCACTCTCCGCCGTTGACGATCGGCAGCATCTGTTGCGTCATGGCAGGAACGACGTTGACGGTATGTCTTTCTATTTAATTTTGCCATATCCCGCTGTCTAATGTTCTGTATGTTTTACTACATGTGATAACCCGTTGAATAGTGTCTCTTGTCACTTCAAGATTAATTTAGCATAGATTCATTATACGTACGTTTCCTCTGTGTCACCTATCTTGTCGCTAGCATTCATCCCGCACATGCTTTTTCGTGTTGTCTAACCGAGTAGTTCCCTACGTTTTATTCCAAAACCTAAAACCACATTCATTCGAAAGCTTCAACACCTTTTCCTCTTGTCGGTAAACAATTATTGTTTGCACTAATTGCTAATAAACTTTCTCTTTTATACGAAAAAGGATGCTTTGCAAACGACGAATTTATCCATAACCAAAGCGATTTCCACTAAACTTGTTTTTAAAATGTTATTTTGGCGATCAAGCAGGTATTTACCGATTGGTGTGACGCTTTAACAAGATTGGTTTGATGTTGCTTAATATATGCACTTGACGTCGCAAGAGTTTCTTGTAATGGACGGGTCTACACATCAATCACTGCAAACCAATCATGCCATGTCAAAGCAGTTGCAATAATGAAATGAATCTGACATTTGAACAGTTGAGAGTCTTGAATTTTGTTGGGATTTTTTAACAAAAAAAAAATCCGTCAAATAACCGCTAATATAACGGCAGTACCCCATTTGCCATAACGCCGTTTGGCATAATTGCTCTTTTCGAACATAACTGCTTTTTTAAATCATGGTTTATTCTTCAAAAATATGGGAGAATTGCTCATGTTCGAAAGAAAGGAAAATACCTATTAAATAATTATTATCCTTTCTTTTGATCATGAGCTGTTCTTTCATATTCCGGTAGAAGTACAACAGCCCATGAAATAGAAGATTCAACACTATTTTTTATCGTTATAAGTAGTCTTTTTCCTCATTCATGCTGTTGTTGGTTTGCATAGGCATAGGGGTGACATTGCAAGTTTTGTTTACAAAAAACTGATCGACCCTTATCAAATGTTTCGCAAAAATTATCATTTAGGGTCGATTTATTCACCTTCGTTTAAGTTTCCAACCAGATTTAATATACATGGGTAAACCTGGTTTTAAAATTTAAGCGGAGATGAAGAAATCGGCCCTTAATGGGTAGTTTTCCTTCTTTTGAGCTAAAGAACAGATAAAGCATTAGCAAAATTGATTTGACATGGAATGACTCACAAAGCAAACGTTCAAGTGACAAGCATCGAAAAGATTTCCCTTATTAGAATAATCAATTGTATCTTTCATTACTTCCGATCCCACATCTATCTGCGATTCAGATAGATTGGGGACCAGAAGGGTATTGCTGTTTTCAAAATTCCTTAGATTTTTAGGTCAAAATGTTCTAAGTCTAAGTAGATGGCTAACAGCAAAAAAAAAATTCTTAGGGAATAAGCATAAATGACGTAGCATTTGAGATAGGAGGAGGGCGGGAGATTGAAAAATTGTGACCGGCCATGTATTAGGTACAGTCAAATATGCTACAATGGGGAGAGGTGGTCTTAAATTGGTCGTATATTTGCAACGTCATTTGTGGATGGTTCCTTATGTTTGTTTTTTGACACTTCTCACTATTAATACAGCATGGGTTGTGCTAGCGTTTCCTGCATGTTTTCATTTCTAGCAAAATGGTAGAAGTAGAGTTGTGTTTACTTGTTGGATGACAGTGATTCGCACCGAAAACTAAGATCGTAGCCATTATGTGCAGCGCATCGAAACCAGCAGCGAGATGAATAAAGTTTATTTCAAAATTTCCTATCAACCAACACGGAGGTGTATACTAGGGTCTATTTTGGATGTTCATTTATCATCATCGCAATATAAGGGTCTTCACCGATCACGTGGGGACATACACTAGATGCTTTATTGCAAAAGTACTTCCACTACATTGTATTGTTATTTTTTTTGTTTTATTCAGTTTTAATTATATTTATGATTTGCCTTTTCTAACAAAACATAAACCTCAACGATACATATCGGTATTGAGCGCGTTCAATTGTGTGATGTACGCTAAGCAATGCTCCGTCAGAAACCAAAATATGTAAAAAAAAATAATGTATATTGGTCCTAGGCCGCGGTACCTGTGCCTCTAGTTCTTCTACTACCACTACCACTTTCTCTTCTTCCTCGACAACAACATCCACATCAACCGCAACAATGTACAAAGCTCCACAAACCGTAGCAAGCATCGTAACCAATTCAACTGTTCAAATGTCTTCGACAGTAGCGAGTTCCACCAACAGTGGCACTGTTGCGGGTATACAACAACCATCATCCTCGTCATCTGTGAAGGTAATCAACTTGCCGTATGGTAGTGGTACGAACAGTGCTAACACGGGCTGTTCGACTCCTCACGGCATAAGCAACTATAACCAGCATCAACGCCAAATGCAGCAGCAACAACAACAAAGACCACATCAACAACAACAGAATCAACAATATCGCGTTCAATCTCGTAACGATGCACAAATGCCATCGGCGCAAAGACATCATCACGCGCCAAACAAGTACCCTAGTTCATATACCAAATGACAGTGGCAGCATGAAGTGACCAATTTTAATTACAATCCGACGCCACCAGGGCGCCTATAAGCCACACTTACAAATGTTCTAAAACGGTAAGTCCGAGTGAGCAAAAGAGAGCTATCTCGATCGCAAAGCGCACCCAATCAAAACTCATATACAGGTACCACGACCACAGAAAAAAATGTTTGCAAAATGTTTCTTTTTTCTAGTTTATTATTTTATGTTTTTTTTTTTTTAGTTTATTCACATTGATTTTAATTTCGTTTTATTTTCTTATGCTGAAATTCAGTTTTTACTGACATCGCTCATAACTCATCTTCGCAAAAAAAATCGGATATCAGGGTTTGTTGTACATACATTTCTAAAATCGAAAATAACATTTGGGATGAACATCACAATAATAGAAAAACGAGATACTGCTGTTGTGGAATAAGAATTGCAGAAATTCAATTGACTAATAGATGTTTTCTTTTGTTTGGGAATATTAATTTGTAAATATGATACGGGCTTAGGATGACAGGAAATAACATATAGTTCCAAGGTGCGTCGTGCATTCTAAATAACATATCTAAGAGATAATGCGTTCGTTTGTGCTTCGACTCCCGCAGACTTTCCTGCGATAAATCTTCAATCATACACGGCCGATGAGAGTAGCTCAGAAGTGCGTCGAATTCGACTCACAATTGTTAAAAGTGGAGTTACTCAGTCACACGGAAAAATCTATCGTCGTATCGAAAATATTTCAAGTAAATTTAAACGTAATCTCAGTTTGTTCTGGCCAGTGGCCACAAAAATAAACTAGGTTGATTTCAAACGTACTCCATGTTGGAAGTCACGTGATATCAATGTTTAAAATAAAAATAATGTTACGTTTATTTTAACAATATTCGTATTGATAAAAAACGTGAATAATTTTGTTTGATTGTGAACAAAAATAAATATGTTTGTTTTAAACATGCTTTTCATTTTTAAAACAAACATAGGGGAGGAGGGGCATAGTGAGCATCCCGCAGTTTGGCTCTGGATCTCCAGCTGCATGAAACAAATCAACTGGTAGTAGGTTCAATATCATTGCGATATTGATCCTACTACCAACCAATTTGTTCCAAACGGCCGGAAGTCCAAGCTGGTGCACGAGATGCTCACTATGCCCTACCTGTTCACTATGCCCCTCTTACCCCTACATATCTTGAATTTATTTTAAATAAATGAAAAAAAAGATCAGCAGACAGGGCATCTGAATGCCCGCTATTTTTCGGGTCGATTAAGGGTGGTCTGTGGATGGTGGTGTTCTAGTTCGGGATCCGGGTGACCGTCGGGGTGGATGTCCGGGGGTTCCAGTTCAGTTCCAGTTCCAATGCTACCGACGCCAGGGAGGCAGCTCCCACAACTGGATTCTTCCTATCAACCCGTTAACTCATGGTTTTTTTTTCCTCTGTTCGGGACCTAACACTACTGCGACCAGTAAATTGATCTATTGTAGTATATCCCGTGTCCTTAGTTTAGTGCATGTCGTATTACTCCATCACTATTGAGAAATGATGAAGTATTCTATTTTTTTACAGTTGCCACTCTTGCATTTATCGCAAAGATCCGACTCTAATTGAAAGGTCCCGCTATTTATACCCTTCGGAGTGTTGAAACACCCTCCAAAGGCACGCCCCTTTGTCAGTCAAAATCGGATTCCTTAGCAACAAAATTAAGGTATGACACCGATAATGACCATGCATCAGAACCCTAGTCTTAACCACTTCAAACTAGGGAACAACGAAGAGAAGATTAGGAATCACATAGATGAAGACAACTAACTCATTTTTTTGCCTTGTTTCAAGATCATCCTCGGTAGACAAAGCCGAGTCTTGTCACAATCAACAAGGCATAAAAAGTAACAAGGACTAAGATGTGTTCCTTGGATTACTGAAAAATCCTGTTCCCCTAGTTTGAAGTAGTCAGGAACTGGATAACAACGGATAGAAGATTAGGAATCACAAAGTGCGAAAAACTGTCCAAAATTTATAAGAAGGTCAACATTTAGGATCATAAAAGTTTCCAAAATAATATTTTTATATATTTGATTGTGAAGTTAACTGCTTAAGAACGACACGACATACACAATGTAATAACCTTATACCAATTTAAAATATTTTAAAGGGTTTTATTTATAACACATTGTTTACAATTTATTTACTGTCCAGTCCTTATATGTGTATTTGAATTTTTGATAGATTTACAAGTTTAATGTGAATAGTATTTGTTTTTGTTTTTTCTTCGTGTCATACAAGAAACCATTGTCTAATTATGTAGCAGTTGAAGGAATATTAACGATTACTTACTAGAAATTTGTGATCAACTTTATTTATTAAAATTAAGTAAATAGTTCCACACTTCTGGTATAATAAGCACCGCCGTTGGGTTTGAACGGTTATACCATTAACTCCATCATAAATGGTGTTTT